CGGGCAGCGGCGCTGCCCCCGCGCCGCCCGCAGTCTCCCCGCTCGGACCCCCCGCCGCCGGGCGAACCCCTCCCCAGCGGGGGTGGGGGGCTCCGCGCCTCCTTCCCTCGGTCAAGGTAACTTGGGTCGGCCCCTGCCTGCCGCCGCAGGGAAGTCGGGAGTGGATTAATGCATAAAAGGCACGAGGGCAGTCACGGCAACCTGCAAGTTGTGTGCTGAGGTGTGGTGGCACAGGCTAATGACGGTGTTAGGAAGATTAATTGGGAGACCAGAGTGAAGTGCTTGGAAGGAGACGGTCTTGTTAAGAAACATCCAGTATTAAGATGTCCCCAAATATTTCCAAGGGTATTACGTGCAGTTGGGATTGCTTAAGAGATTGTAGACAAGCTTGTCTCTGTTTATGCAAATGTAGAGAAAGAGAAAAGAAAAACGCTTCCCCAGGCTACGGTACCGTTTCTTCCCTGTAAACTGAAGATGGGATAGAGATTTTGGAACATGTTGTCAAGTTTTTCAATGCCAGAAAAAAATAAATCCCTCCTTACAAACATGTGGAGAGCTGCCGTCGTTGGGGGATGAACGTGCTTTGGGAATGCCCTTTGCTGCTCCGACGGTGCGGGGTTAGACCTGCATCCGTGATGGGTTCCAGTGAAATGGAGGCAGATAGTTTTGGTTGATTCTTAAAGCTCCTTGCATAATTACGAGCGCAGCTGTACGCTTTGTCTTTATGTAACAATTTTCAGGTTTTTCCCTTCGTTTTCTCTCCATGCTGTGATTGCCGGTTTTATTAACGTGCAGTTATTTGTGTTATAACCTGTGTAACATCTTACGTGTTGTAGGAAGAAAAGGCTTGGTGAATTCAACTGATATTAAAGCAGACGATGTCGGGATGTGTTTCACTGCGTTCGATTCAGAGGGTGCAGCTACTGGGGAGAGAGCTTTAAAATAGCTTTCTGCTGCTTCTAGAAAGGATTATCTGCAGTATAAGATTTGAATTCAGGCTTTGATGCTGCAGAACCCGAAATAAGGTGTATATCCTTGGAGAGGTAAATACACAACTTCACAGCAGTCATAAACTGGAGCTGTGCAGCATGAGGTCGAGGGTCTGGTTCTTGACTTAGAGCAGTGCTCTTTGCTTTGCACCGTGTGCCTCGGTTACTGAGGGTTTAGGTTTATCTTTCATCTTGATTTGTTCTTCCCTCACCTGAAGGTTCACGTGTTGCATTTCCAGCCGTTGAACATCTTCACCCACAGACTTGCAGCTAACGTAGGCTTACGTTTATTTTCCTTCAGCTTGAATTCCTTTGGAAGTTGCCAGCTGCTTTGGCTTCCAACAAACTTACTTGTTGTTAGCAAAAGATGGTCTTTTTATTCTGCTGCAGTTTAGAGAGGTTTGTGGTTTATTTGATTTACTTTAGGAGACCTAAAGCGGAGATCTTATCGGCACGGTTGTTAAACAATCCAAGACAGGCAGCGCAGTGTGGCAGGTAATTTGGGTGTACGTCAACCCATGCAACGCGGATCCTTAAATGAAGAAGTCTCTGCTGGTCTGTGAAGAGATCACCAGGCTGTTCTGTTCCACAGAAACCTCTTCACTGAGAAGTCCGTGCCTAAGTTTTAATGTTAAAGGTGATGCACAGGTTTTCCTAAGTTAAATGGCCATCTAACCCATACGAAGAACGTGTATTACAGTTTCAAACTACATTTTATGCAGCAACATTTTGTTTTGGTTGGTGTGGGCAGGCTGCCTCGTTTGAGGTTTTGTCTGTGTGGTCTCAGGAGCCCAATTAGCTCTACTTTAAATCTGCAGCACTTACTTGGCCGCGGAAGCAAACGTTAAAGCTGCCGAATATAAATCTCATTAGTATAGATGCACACTTTGTACCATATACCAAGGAATTGCTAAAGGTCACCTCTCTACTCAGTGAAGAGTTCTCTCTCATTACAAGAACTACAGTCTTGATGAGAGAAAGAGGTGTAATGTAATTTCAATTAACTGGCATGAGCTCTGTGCACAGTTTGGCAGGGGAGAGGCCAGAACAGCGCAAGCAGACGCTTCCCTCTTGGCACGTCAGGTGCAGCTAAGCTTTTCTGCTAGGTTTTGGTTAGTAAGTATTAATTTTTGAGGTCGGGGAAGCATACAGGGGTTATGTCCTAATCTAAAATTGCTTGTTTGTAGTTGTCTAACAACGTGAGGCACTGTAGGCGAAGCTGAAAGTTTTAATACCAACCTGAAAAAAAGGAGAAAATGGGCTCAAGACAGGTCTTTCTACAGCTGAAGTTCTACCAGATAGTGGGATATCCCCCTAGGAAACAGGGAAGCTCCCCCCGGGAGCTTCATGTCTTGTCTTTCAAACCAGGTTGGTGAAAGCACAGCCGTACCCTGTTAGGGGACACATCTGCTCTGCCTGAAGTATGGGTCCTGTGGACAAGTAGGTCTTCTCACTTAATGCTTTGATAGATGGTGAGTGCTTAGTTTCTAACCTGCTGCCTGCTAAAAGTCACTGAAAGTCTCCCAAAGGCACGCCAAATTAATTTAGACTTTTACTGAAGCAAAGAGCCCAAGCTCCAGTGCTAGCAAAGAGCTGCCGCTGCAGAACCCGCTCTATTATCTCTCTTTTGTTGCTGTAATGATCTATGTGGAGTAATTACAAAAGCTTGTTTGTGTGAATGACTAAACCTAGTACAGCGAGATGAATACTTCATCTACAAAATGACACGTGTCCTGAACGTTTGGCTTAGTAGTAATTGTACAAGGAAAATGCGGTTTGCCCTACTGGCCCAACAGCACATACTCCAGTGTAAAATTCGAGATGGCTTTCCAGAATGGTCTTGTGTTCTGATATAACATTGTATGTGTTGTTCTTATGCAGATTATCTCGATAATGGCAATAATAAAATGGCAATCCAGCAAGCGGATAAACTGCTCAAAAAACACAAGGATCTTCACTGTGCAAAGGTAAGTGCGACCGGGGTGCGCTGACCTCGTTCGGTGAGCGCGGCTCCGAGACGTGGAGTGTTTCGCTGTGCCTTTTGAGCGGTGCCCGTGATCTTCCAGAGGCCGCAGTGGTTTCTGAACCCTCTGGAACATCTCGGGCTGTTCTAAGTCACACGGTATCATGTTTGCCTGAAAACTTGTACAGATCCTCTTGGTGACTAATGAGTGGAGTGTAATTGGTTACACCCGAGCTAATTGTCCAGCTCCCTGTCAGAGCCACTGCAAGCAACCTTGGCACGTGGGCTGTGCCTTAAAAAATGCCTCCTTTAGAAATTAGGTTGGGATACCTACCTGTAGCAGTTTGGACCAAAACATTTCCTTGGGAGGTGTGGTCCTTAGTAAAACATAATGAGGTGATTTTGGAGGCAGTTGCTCTGCTGCTGCTTGTTCGCTGCCCTCCCTGCTGTGCCCCTGTTGTGAAGGGAAAGGAGAACTGCTCCTTGGTTTTCTGAACATAGGAGACTCTACTTTTCTCTTTTCCCTCTGGGTTTTCCTCTACAGTTCATACCACTTCTATATTTTGAAAGCTTTCCAAGCTGAAGCGAGTGTCATTGACCTGAATCTCATTTATGTGGCTTCTCTCTGGCCAGTTATTGAAAGAAAAAAACCATGAGAATTGGCAGGACTGCTCAGTTTTCAGTCTGCAGGTAGGGAAAATCTGAGTGGCAGCTGATGCCTTGGAGCAGCCTGCGCATTTGCTAAGGAACGCAAAGCTGCACTATTGGATGCAGCTTGCATTTGGAAGTTTTCCTCTACAGCCGTATGGACTAGAAGCTTAATAAATCCTCAAGTTTTGTAGAAGTAATGAGGTGGTTGGGCAAAGCCTCTCCTCACCAGGAATGAGAGGATTTTCACCAGTAACTTCCAACTCTGTTTCTAACAGCTGCCTCTGCGTTGTGTCCGTAGGTTCTAAAGGCAATTGGCTTGCAGAGAACTGGCAAGCAAGATGAAGCGTATGCTCTGGCACAAGAAGTAGCAGCACTTGAACCCACAGATGATAATTCCTTGCAAGCACTAACTATTCTTTACCGGGAAATGCATAGACGTAAGCTTTTTCCTTTGCCTTTCTTAAAAATCGTAATTATTTACGTTCTTCCAGAAGTATATGTGACCCACAGTTTCATGGGAAACGTGCGAAGTCCAGGGTTCTTGTATAGGCGTGTCATTAAGAATTTAAATTATGCCTGTTACAAATGCCCCTAGGGCTCTAGTGATCACCGTAATGCGAAGAACCTTGGTCAGGCTTCTCTCATTAACACTGTTGTGTACACAGTTCCTAAATGAATGGCATGCTAATAATCATCCGTCACCATCAGCCCGAGTTCACCTTTCTTTTAAATGAAAGCTACTGGAATTTATTGTCAGTAAATGTGGTAGAGGTGACAAATCACATGGTCTGTGGTTTGGAGCATGCTTAACGCCGTGAGAGCGTAGTCGAGGGCTTCAGGCCTCAAGAAGCTGTGTGACAAGCGGAAGGGAAATCCTGGCCTCTCAATTTGACCGCAGTAGCTTTTTCAGTATGGTTCCTTGTAGTGATGCGGTATTTTAAAAATCCCAAATCGTGAACGTTTGAGTGCCGGAGTAAAATTGCACGTGCTTTTCTGAAAGAAGCCAGACCTTAGATACTGCTTATCTACAGCTCTAAACAGTTGTTTCTGGCAGCTTCTTGTGGTTCTTGGTGGTGGTGGCAGCGTTTACTGTTGAACTGCTGGAGCGATGACAACGGGGCGAAAGGACTTCTGTGGGAATGGATATTTGGTATCAGTCTGCAATATAGCAATTAGTTTATAATATAATATTATGCTAGCTTATTCCTTTCTATATGTGTGTGTTTTGTATATGTGGAGTTAAAGCATCATTTCTTGAATAATACGAAATTTTTGTGTGTATGTGGGACTTCAGCATAACCCCCTGAAAATGTCAAAAGCCTTTCTGTGCTTCTAAACAACTTGCATAAGCATTAAGCTCGGGTTTATAACTCAGAAAGGAAATAGTGGGTGTTAGGCGCTTCCACTTCTGGTCCTTCAGGAAAATTCTAATTTAGGTGTTTTATGTATGGGTGTCAAGGATATGTAAACTCTGTGGAAGACAAATTACGTTTAGTTTTCTAATACAACACTGAGATATGATTGTATGTGTAAGGGGAAAAAAAAATCTGGAAGGATGAAAACATAAGCAAGTTTTGCATATTATAATACTGTAAGTATTTAGTCATGCTAGACCTATTATTAAAAAGTATAGTGTTACTTGTTAAGAATACTAAAACAGGCAATTGGGAATAACAGGATGTGACTAAGATAAGTAAACCTGCGATAAGAGTAACTAATTTGATAGTAGGCTCTGAAAATGCTCTGTGTTTTGATAGGTAATTCACATGGAGCAGTCGTTCTGCCAGGAGTAGAAATCTTCATTCAGTTTAATGCTCCAAAATAGATAAACTTGCTTAAGAAAAAGACTTAAGTGCTTCTGAGCAGTTCAGTTGTTGCTGTTAACTCTGTTTTGAGGTTTGGTTGGGGTTTTTTAAGCACTTTGCTCCTTTGCCTAATGTTTGTAGCGCTTGGGGTTTTGGGGGGAGAGTTTCTGTGGTTGATGAGTGTAATTAGAGTTCTGTTCAGAGTATCACTGATGCTATCTTTAGGTAGCCGTGTTTTAGAATTATTCCCAAATCTGTCTTAACTCAAGCATCTGGTTTTGGTTTAGCGGAACTGGTAACTAAACTTTATGAGGCAGCTGTAAAGAAGGTTCCCAACAGTGAAGAGTATCACTCTCATCTCTTCATGGCCTATGCCAGGGTTGGAGAATACAAGAAGATGCAACAGGTACAATTTGTGTTCTGGTCATTTTAAGGTGTCTTTTTCTGTATATCTTACTGTTAATGCCTTTTCATGTTATAAGTAATCTTTCAGAAAGCTAAGCTGGGTTAATGCAGAAGTTACACTCTATGTTAGTTTTTACAGAAAGGTTTAAAAGATCGTATGTATTTGTTCTGAAGACAAATGCTTTCTTTTCCTTAGTGGGATAGGACAGCTGTGCCTTTTGTGTGCACATCTGGTCTGATGGAATATGTTGGTTATTTTGGGAGGCCTTTATCAATCTGTCTTGAACAGTATGGTGGCTACATAGGAGGCAGAATTCCTTAGTTTGCTGTTATCTTTGGGAAGAGTAATCTTGCCCATGTCCTTACCTCTGGAATCTAACATATGACTGGGCTTGTATTGGTTGTAATTCAATAAGAAAAACTAAAAAGCACTTCCTTAAAGTACATCTTACTTCTCAGTTGGCAGAACAGTGTCATGCTGGTTAGTTTTGTTTTCATCACTTCCAAATTAGGTGCTTGGAGAATGCCTATAAATGGAAGATTCTTTTCAAAGCATGCGCACTCACTCGTCTGTATAAAAAAGCACAGAGCGCCAAGTAAATGAGTCCTAGGCTCCCTCTCGTTCCCGCTGTGTTAAGGTGACTTGAATTTTTGTGCAAGTTTGGTTTAAATAAGAAAATAGTGAGCAGAAGTGTTATTCTCCATTGTAGGCCAACTTGTATGCTGTTCGAGTTCAAGCTTTAGGTAGGGACTAAGTTATTAATGTACATGAAATTACAGCTTCATATGACAACCTAAGCTTCACAGGCGTGACTGTATGTTAATTGTACTCCGGTGTACAACCAGGAGTAGAAAAAAGACCAGTCTTGCACAGATAACGCTATTTAACATTTATCTGACCTTTTGTATGTTTAAAATGTCTACAAACACTTATCTAGTTAAGTTACTCAGACATTGTCAGAGAGTAAGATGGTCGATGTGCATTTGACCTAAGGATTTAGAGATGCAAAGAGCGTGTGGATGCTAACGGGTTGGAGAGTGAAAATAAACCTCAGCATCCTGTGTTCTGGGGTTTTGCAGCTGGAAGTACTGGAAAATGCAAACTGACTGCAGTCAGCAAATGGGCACAAAAATCCATCTGTGGTAGTAGACTGTATTGTATGTAGTTCCATAAAATGAATTACCGATTTTGTATGGGTAGAAGCATGGTCCTTCATTATATACAGACACTGGCAATCTGCAAGAGAAATATGTGACTAACTCTTTCTGTGTTAGGCTAGAGAATCTTGAATATCTTGACTCTGCTTTGATACAGCCAAGCTTTCAGCTCGACCTTTGCTTAACCGCTGCTTTGCATGTATAGGTGACCTCATGTTTTGGATATCTGAGTGTGTGTATGTATGAAATGAGTGGTGAAGGGCAGTTGCTTACATGAGGGAGGCCTGTGGTTTGGTGTGTCTTTTGGCACTGGCGGAGCATACCTGTGAAAATCAGCACTGGAAATATCCCCCTCACTCCTAAAGAGTAGGTCTTCTGCTTCCTGATGTAGGTACTGCTTCTAATTAAAGCTGTTACCTGTTTAGGCAATCATACGTGCACATGCTCATTGCTTCCTTGTCAGACCGACACAAAGTACTTAATCTCTGAAATGTTTTCACCCTCTGTTTTCTTCTGTAGAATGTGTGTTAAGAAGGAATGGCTCAGGGGTTGATAAAAATCCTCCCATCTAGTTGCTAATTCTGTGTTGCCTGCTGCCTTCATTGCTGCTTAGTTTGCACTGTTTGTCATGAGAGCAGATACATTTCAGGAATGATGAAACTTTGTCTTATATTTTTCAGGCTGGGATGGCACTTTATAAGATTGTACCCAAAAATCCTTACTATTTTTGGTCTGTGATGAGCCTGATCATGCAGGTGTGTACGGTGTTGCAAATGAGTTTGACTTTTGCTGCGGGTATAGCACAACGTTCCAAGTGAAGCTATTAGATATTTTAAGTAAGACGTCTGTTTGAACTGTTTCTTTGTGGTGCTGGGGGAAGGACTGAGCCCTCCTTAAGCATTATTATTAATGAGGTTCAATGTGAATGTTGTAGTGCTTTTATAATGCAACTTAACTGGTCTGCCTTGTCACGTTTGTACAGCTTGAATTATTCTCTTATCTGGACTAGTACCCTATTGTCTGTTTAGTTGGGTTTAGTTAGGGAGCTAATGAATAAATCCTCAAATATCTGCAGCTCCTTAGGCAGAACTGTTCCTCTCTGTAACTAGGTTATAAAAGCTCTAGGAGGAAATAAATGAGAGCTCTGGACCTAGCATGTCTATAAGACACTGACAGAGTGTTGGCCGAGCCAAAAATGAGCATGGAGGCATTAATCACATTCTCTAAAATACTGTGCCATGGAAAACAGAAACGTGTTCTTGCTGCGTGTTATTTGCCATGGATATTGTGTGCCTAGATGCATGAGTCTCTGGACAATGTAATCAAGGGCGAGCTTTTCTGTATATCACCAGTTTTATTGCTGCCTTTTAACAGAGCAGTTGCTCTCTGCACGTGACAGATGGCAGCTCGGAATGTGTGGTTTTGGGGGGATTGAAGCACCTGGGTGGAGTTTTTTTTCTCCTGTTCTGATGTGAAGAAAGCAGTGGGTGGGACAACACAAAAAGCTGATGAGCTGTTACAATAATTTTTCTCTTTCTTAGTCTATTTCAGCACAGGATGAAAACCTCTCAAAGACGATGTTTTTGCCACTGGCTGAAAGAATGGTGGAAAAAATGGTGAAAGAGGATAAGATTGAAGCTGAGGCTGAAGTAAGACTTGCAGACACTTTCAGCTTGATTTGAACATTATTGAGACAAGGAATGCACTGTTAAAGGACGTTGATTATTTTAACAGTTTTCCAATATAATAATCAGTGGTGTTCTGGAAGCAAATGTGAAAGTAGCGGGACAGAAGGAAAACCAAGAGCAGACAGTTGAGAGGGATTTGGAGTCGTGTAGCCAAGGAAATTTTTTGGCATTTGATTTGACTGATAAGTACTTGGGTTTGCTCCCTCGGAGGCCCCAAGAGAACCTTCAGGACTGAGAATGGAAAAAGACCTAAATTCCTGAATGTTCCACCCTCTGGGATGCTAAAGATAGCTTTGTAGGCCTGGCTATCTCCTATTTCTAATGACAGTAACACAAGCCACTTTATTTCCTGGCACACCTGTAGATTGTTTTACTAGCAAATTTCATTGCAGCCTGATCTTTCTTTTAAGGTCGAACTGTACTACATGATTCTGGAACGTTTGGAGAAGTATAAGGAAGCCTTAGATGTCGTGAGAGGAAAACTAGGAGGTAACTTATTCTGTCAATTAGTAATCACAGTTGTGTAGAGGAACAGCAGGTTCAGGCTTGTCTGCTGATTACAAAATAAAAGGCTGTAAGAAGCCTGACTCCTAACACCAGTTTCAAACACCAATGCAAACTGTGGAGGTGCTCTCACACAAGCTGGTTTTACCCACCTGTTCATGGTATTTGTTATTCAGTGATGAACTTTGCAGCAGCATGCTTAGCAGTAGTAAATTGATAGCATGTTAGTTTGTTGTAGCTGCCATCTTAAAATAAATTTTTGTGGACTCTTCCTGGTGATTAAAATGCACTTGCAGTTTTAAGGAATTGGGATATGAAGGTTTCCATAGCAAATCTGTCCTTTCTGTCCTTCAAGGGCCTCTCTCCTGTTCTCTTACTGTTTTGCATCCTTGGCTATAATAAGAAGCTTTGTGCAGAAAGTAGAGAAGGAAATGCATTGATTAAATAAACTTGCCCTTCTGTTTTTAATTTAGAGAAGCTGACAAGTGAGCTCCAAAGCCGCGAGAACAAGTGTATGGCAATGTACAAGAAGCTGTGTAGGTGGCCGGAGTGCAACGCGCTGTCGAGAAGGCTGCTGCTGAAAAAGTGAGATGATGTTTCTGCAGTCCTACTGAAAAAACCTGAAGAAAAATTCTGGGCTGGTTGTGAATTGCCTTGTTCGGTGGCTTTTGTAAATGGCGGTTGAAATAGAAAAACGGCAGAGGATCTCAAAGCATTTCCAAACAGTTGCACTCCAAAGCCTGAGGAAAAGGGCAGCAGAATGGAATGTTAAAGGGGCGTGGTGAAGGTCACAGGGAGAGTCAGTGTCAGGACTGTAGCTGCTGCTTTTTGCAGGCTGACTTTAGCGGCACATTAATGCAATAAAATTTTGTTTATCTCCTTATTTCTAAAGGCTGTGCTGGTTGTCCAGCTCTGACTTCCATGGTAGGAGAGGAGGAGAAGTGCATTTACATTCAATTTTCTGGAACTTCATTTCTCTCACTTGGCCAGACTTCATACTGGAAAATGCATGTAATGCTTTGAACAGATGCATCAGAAGAGAGCATACTAGTATGATCAAATCTGTTTCTTGGAACTGCCAAGATAGATTTGTTGTTTGCTTTTTGTATTTAGCTGTGCCCTAGTCTTAAGTATAAGTTAAATATGGAGGCTTGAAGATTAGAAGGTTCTGTCTGCATCCACTGTCCCCAGGGACAGCAGAGTATTTCTTCTCTAGAGAAGTTGTTCCTGGTATTTAGTATTTGTTAAACATTTGCAGTGAGAAAAACTGCAGAAAATAAGTGTGAGCTTTACAGGACACTTGAACACAACGCTGACAATGTGTAGAGCTAATATAAGGACATTTTCAGCTTTACCTCTTTGTATTTGGCGTCTCCAATTTTATACTCTTAAATTGCTCTGAACGTGGGCAGGAGAAGCTTCTGCCTTAGCTTTTTGTTGATATTCATGAGCTCTGATTGGAATGTAAACGTTAAGAGGAAAATTTGTAGCTTGTCTCGATTCTTTATTGAAATTTTTTCCTTTAACGTGTTTCAAGTTCAGGGTGGTAGCGTTCTTAAGGTGCAAGACCTTTTCAAGGAGAAACGATTCTTATTGCAGTTGTTTTTTTCTGTAATAGGAACATGCACTATTCCTTAAATTCAGCTTTTGCAAGGAATGCAGTTTTAGAATTGAGTTACTGTTTTGGCAATTCCCTAAACTTTGTTCTGTGCCTGATTTTTGTTTCAGCTCAGATGATTGGCAGTTTTATATAACTTACTTTGATTCAGTGTTTCAACTCATTGATGAATCCTGGACACCTCCGCCAGAAGACGAGCAGTAAGTTGACGGTTTTGCTGTGGATTTGTTTTTCCTTTGTTCTACAGCAGATTGTTTGCATTCATATATTCAGTACAGCGCTGTCTGTGTCTTTGGGTGGCTTCTTGACATCAGACCCCAAATGATACGTTCTCCCTCCTTTGTTTTGGAGGCTGGCAATAGTTTATTGGAAACAGCTGTATAAATAGTGGTTTGTACACTACAGAACTCTTCATGTTTTGCATGGTGATTGAGTTAAGAGAATCCGTCATGCCAGATTTCCTTAAGACTATCCTGGGAGTATGCTGAGCACGTGTTGTCAATGCCCCAGCAATGGGTAAAAAATCAAGGAACCTTTTGTCTCTTTAATTGCACAGCTCTTTGGAAGGAGAGGTACACTATTCTATAGAGCAAGCTGTGAAATTTATAGAAGAGAGGATAACAGAAGAATCGAAGAGCTCTCGGCCGCTTCGGGGACCATATTTAGCTAAACTGGAGCTGATTAGACGTTTGCGATACAGAGGTTGTAATGATGAATATAAACTAGGTAAGACCCACTAACAGGATGATAAATTAATCTTTTAGAGAGAACACAGACTTGGAACAAGCTCTTTGCTAAATCACCGAGTTAAATGCAATGTCTGTTATGAAAATGTACGTGCTGTTGTCTGTATATAAAGCATTAGAAGATGAGCTTTGAAGAAAGCCAGGTAGTTCCAGACTGCTCCAGAGCTTGCAAAAGCAAGCGTGGAAACTTTCAAAAGGACCTATGGGATCTGGGAGCATAGAGTCACTGATATTGTAACAAAAAGTGCGTTCCTGATGCACTGCTTTTTGTGGAAAGTCCTGCTGTTCCTCTGTAATCTCTGGGTGGTTTTTGGTTTAAGGTTTTTTTTGGCAGTAGTACCAGGGTTTGCTTTTAAAATTGCATTTAAAAATCACATTTAGGGAATCGGTGAAGGAGAGAATGCGATTAGAGCAACACCTGTGCTACTTATCAGTTCCTTTTGTATTTCCATCCAAAAATAAGTTGCTGTTAGATAAGCGGAGGCTGTGAATGCATGCCTGTAAGGCTGAGCTCTTATCTGCCAAAGTAGCTTGAATGAAGCTCTTGGGTTTTGGGTTTTTTTTTATGTGTCCTTGGTTACCAAAGACATTGAGGCTCTGTTAAAATCTGCAGTTGTGCAGCTATCCATTTCCTAAATCGCTATGTCATCTCGAGGGGGGGAAAGCATCAACAAAGATTTCTCATAGTGGTTTTACAGGTGCGACATTTAACAGAGCATATTGAAAAGATGAACCGGCCTTTTTCCTAGGTGATCCAGAAGAACTTATGTTCCAATACTTCAAAAAATTTGGGGACAAGCCCTGCTGTTTTACTGATCTCAAAGTATTTGTGGATCTCCTCCCATCCAGCCAATACACAAAGGTAAGGAAAGATAAAGTGGTGGTGGTAGGAACTGCAGCGCTTGTTCGCACTCTCGTCCCTTTGTCTTAAAATAGCTGTGGATCATATTAAAAGACTGGAAACATCCCATTTTTACCTTCTGTTAGAAATTCAGGAAACTGTGCTGCAGAAAATACAATTAACATCTGACTACACTGAGCAATTTCATTCAGAGGATTTTTACTGGAGACTAAATACTTAAGTTTGATCCTGCAGAGTCTCAGACCCAGATGTGGTAGTGTTCATTTGGCTTTTTTATTAAGATTTCAAGGTGTCAGGGTGCTTTGCAATGGTCTTGGTTGGTTTCTCGTATCAAAAGTGAGAAGCTCATATAATGCTGATGAGAGTTACAAGATACGAGCTCGTAATGAAAAGCTCCCTGGGAATTGTAGTTCAATTGATAAGCTACCCAATTTAGCTCACTTTTAAATGAGTAATCTCTCATCACTTTTATTTATAGATCACAGCTTACAAAATGGAGGAATGTGAAAACAGTAAAGAGAAAGATCACCCTGTTCATTCACTTGCAGTTCTCATTGCTGTGGACTGTTAACTTGTTTTACGAAGGCATCTTCCTCTTGCCCTTCCCACTCATCGCTCATTTTTCCCATTAAAGTTATATGTTTAATGGGAAAAGCCTGCTCCCTTGACGGATGCAGGTAGGGCGTCGCATAGGTGTTTTGCTTGGCTCTGCTGCGGTGCTGAAGAACAGATGCATTGATGCTGAGCAAGGGGTGGCCGAGAGACCTATGGCAACTTTTCCAGAATCTCGTTCTGAAACGAGCTCCCTAACTGAAAGGACTATTTGTGCAGAGTCATGAGCAGATCGTTGAATGACTTCAGCAGCTGGGAATCCTGTCACTCACCCTATTGTTTTTCTAAGCCATTGTGTAAAATTACCAGAGCTGGGGAGGGCTGGACAGAGAATCCTGGATCAGCCAGAGGCTGTTGATAAAATGCTTGTAAGCAAAATGTAGATAGTGGTGGTGTTTTCTTAGTTTATTAAAATTTTTTTGACTTCTAATGTAAGCTCTTCACGCCGCCTCACCAATAAGGAGAACGGTGGCCCTGACATGTATAGGTTGCTGCTGCTGTTTTATGTTAAAAGGTGTGGTTTTACTCCTCTGACAAGAGATGTGGTCAGTAGGGTATTTACCTCGTAGTTCTGGAAATGGTGATACCATCCCAAGGTAATCCTGAAGTCCTGACCACTGAACCAACTTTCCAGGAAAAAAATTCTAAACCCAGAGCAGGGGGGAATGGTATTTTAAAATAATAGTTTAAGCACCAGTTTTGTTACAGTGCTTGTAAAACCATGACTCTGAATAAATTCTCTAAAATTTTCTGATTGGCCTTAAAACTGCTGCTGATTTAGCGCGCGTATCATTGTGTCGTACTGACATATTAGAAGGTCTTTATAGATTGTCTCAGATTTATTCTTGTTTCACAGCAAAAGATGCTGAAGGCCATTGTATCCTAGGCAAAGTAGCAGGGTCGCACTGAGACTAGCCACAGATGGGGAGGTCTTTTTTTTTTTTTTTTTTTTTTTTTTTTTTTTCCCCTTTTCTTTTCTTTACTTAGAAAAGCTCAGGTAAGAGTTCTGAATAGTCTCACAGTTCAGTAGCTGAAAATGTGATGATCTTGCTGGGCCACTAGACACGGGAGCTTTTCCAGAAATAATTGTCATGATATCAACCTTGACTTCCTAGAGGCGTAAATTGGAGTACGCAGCCTAGCGATTCAGTTGACCTTGCCCAGCTTGGCAAAATGTCAAACTGAAAAGATTTGTCAACACAGTCTTTGTCAAAGCCTGTGGGAAAGCTGGAATTCGTGTGCATGGTGCTATGTGTTCCTCCTATCTAGCTGTCATGCTTTTTTTTCTCAGGCGTGCGTTTGATGCAGTTCTTGTGTTTGAAGACCAACTGTAGTAAAGCTGAGTTCATTGGCTTTAACTCGGTATTAAGTTTGTAAACACTGTTGCATTTTAGGGCAACAAAAAACCCCCACTGTCCAGCCCTGACTGCATGTTGTGAGAAGTCTGCTGTCTCCTATTAAATTTGTAAAACATGAGAGGCTGCTTTTCTTACAACTTAATTCAAAAAATAAGTCATTAATCAAAGATGATGACCTCACTGAGTACAGCGCATTACTTCAGAGTTGAGAGAAAATGTAATAGCTAATACAAAACCACTGTTTCCTGGAAGGGTGCTGTGAAGCCTTTCAGTAACTAATTATTTTAATTGCATATGTTACTACTGTGAGTGTTAACAGGTGCTTGAACTCCCTTGTGTGTCAATGTATTGGAAATTTGCCTGCGACTTATTTTTTTTTTTTTCCTCCATCTGTTTGATGAAACTTTTTAAAAGCTGTTGAGTGCAACCGGAACTGCATGCTCATCACCTTTCAAAAAAAAAAAAAAAATAGAATATTGAAGCCAGCTGATTTCAGTGTGATGTCAGGGTTGATACTGATATTTCCAGCTTGCTTTTTTTGCGTGATTTGAGGGAGAAAATTATGCTTTCTGTCCATACAGTCCCAGATGCCCCGCAGAATTTAACAACAGTGTTTCTCTTTCAGTTCATCAGTCAATTGCTGGAAGTCATCCCTCTGTCAGCAACAGCAGAGAATGAAATCGCACTGCCAGCTGATATCAAAGCCCTGCAACAGCACTTGTGTGTGGTGCAGCTCTCGAGATTGCTGGGTATCTATCATGCCATGGACAAGAAGCAAAAGCTGACTGTGGTCCGGGAGTTGATGTTAAGATACCGCCATGGATTGGAGTTTGGTGAGAAAAATCTTGAGACTAACGTTGCAGTTCACTTGCCGCTTTTTATGAGCAGAAGTGTAGAGTTTTTTCAGGGGGATGGAACAGTACAAACACTAATGGCACCCATTGTGCTGCTAGAGAATACTTTGCTTGCTCCTTTATGATTATATCCTTCGGCGTACCTGAATTATCTGTTTCCTTTTTTTTTTCTTTTCAATTGTGTATCTTGAAGAGAAATGAGACATTCCTGGGTAGTTCAGATGGTACATTCGCATCTTTGCAAAATTGTCTATGCCTTTAACCAAAGCCAGGCTATATCACTGGTGCACGTATGACAAATATGCGGGCAAGACTACGAATTCATGAATCTTGCAGTTGTAGGAGAGTCTTCTTATTCCAGCAGATGTCAACATAGGGTGTAGCCCAAAGTCCACTCCTGTTATGAACAAATGCAGCACGTATACAGTTGTTTCAGTTTTTAAGACAACTCTGGATTTTATAAATTAAGCTGTGGTTATTGTCTGCTAGATAACTGTGTCACTTGATAACGCTATCAATGTGAGAAGCAGCTGACAGCACTGTTAGTAATTCAAGGGTGCCTTTTTTTTTTTCCTTTTTTAGGTAAATCTTGTTTGAAAACTGAATTGCAGTTTTCAGATTATTACTGCCTCCTTGCAGTTCACTTGCTGCTGGATCTGTGGCTAGAAGGTACGTTCCTGAAATTGTGTCTTGCTTCGTACCACCCTGGATGGATGTGACGGGGAGACTATGTCCCTGTGGCCAGTGTATACCTGGCATGGCTCGTTAGGGCCATAGCTTTCTTTTTGGTAGGGTTGGTTGTTTTTTTTTTCCTCAATGTGAGGTATTTCAGGAGTCCCTCTATTCAGTTGGTGTTTGATATGAACCTCACTGGCCACTAAAGGGATTTAATTTTTCTGATTAATTCCTGCAAGTCCCGGCAGTTTTGCTGATGACTCTTGCAGCTCAGTGCTGACTGTCTTCAGAAGCCTGTTCCAAGTTTCCTATGTAGGTAATGTCCTGTCTCCCTCTGCACAAGTTCTGCCAACAATTCCCTTCTGATATCAGGTGTTTTGAAAGTACTTCTTTCCCTCCCTGACATAATTTGTCTTTTGGATCCCCTGCTTCTCGACCTTCTGCTGAGACCTGTTGTCCTGTCGAGTATTCATCTACTCCACATCTGTTCTGCCTATTCGACTCCTAATCCTGCAGAGTCAGTCTTCAATTCCTGCCCTTCAGTGTAGCTGTCAGTTACACCTTTGTCTTTCTCGAGGAAGATTTAGTCTTTTAACATGAATAAATCCATCATCAGGTTCCTGGCAGGTCACCGGTGGAGCGTGGGCTCTTGAATTCCTGGCTCTGTGCTGCTCTCTTGCCATAATGCTTGGGAGTGCTCTGTACATATAAGCTAGAAATCCTGAACGGTCCAGGACTCATTGGGGAAGGTCGCTTCTGCGGTGTGCGAGTGCTGTGCTCTATACAAACGTGAGCTAAATACTCCCTGTGAGGAATTATTCCTCCGCCTTTCCCTCAGAGAGCAGCTATAGTGCTAGGGTGGGTGTTAACGTTTTAAGGGCAGCAGCGTGGCTGGTGAATGCCACCTACGTGTTTAAATGCATGGGACCATTGTGAGAGGTGCATAACTTGAGGAAGGAAGCTTCAGTGCCCAAGTGAGCTGTGCTGTCAGTGTTCAGTGCCCCTCTCTGATCACGCCTCTCTGTGTGTTCTGTCTGTGTCACCAGGTGAAGAGACGGCTGTGTGGCAGTGCCTAACTCTCTTAGAAGAAGGGTTATCTCACAGTCCTTCTAACGCTCAGTTTAAATTGCTGCTCATTCGAATCTACTGCAGGCTTGGTGCATTTGAACCTGTTGCAGAGCTCTATTCCAGCCTTGATGCAAAACACATACAGCACGACACCATCGGGTGGGTAGTATATACTGAGAATAATTGGTGATGGTGACCCTCCAGTAGCCAGTCCTGAGATCTTCAGTTTCCTTTGCTACTGAAAGTTAGCAGATTATCATTTTCATACGGTGTTGTGTAAAAGTGTTCTGGAATTACATGAGACATGTCTACTGAAAAATGTTCCCCTCCTCGTGGAGTATCGTTCCTGTGTGATTTTGGTCAGATGGGGATTTTCGGAGTATTAACTAAAGGGAATCTGAGAGAAATTTGTGAAATGTGTATCTTGATGCCAGTCACAGGTTGGGGTTCTGGCTTGTGTCATTGCTCAGTGAAGCTTGGGAGCACTAGTTAAAACAAACATACCAAATGGCCGTGCCTTGGTTAGTGTGTTTGTGGGTCTCTAATTAAGTAAAGCTCTTGCAGACTTAGCAAGGTGGGTGGAGGAACTCCCAAGCCCCCATATACTGGTTTTTAAAAAATTAAGAATTCCTTCCATTACTGTTAAAAGCTTAAATTTGAATATGAATGTTGTGATTGCCGTCTGTTAGATCTCCAGACTTTTCATGAAAGCTGGACTGTGCTGCAGTTCAGAGCTGTGTTTGAAAGTCAGGTTTCCCCAGGGCTGTGTGCTGGTATTTGACTTGTGCTGTGTTGTGTTGCAGCTATCTTCTGACGCGCTATGCAGAGTCACTGGGCCATTATGCTGCTGCATCCCAATCCTGCAATTTTGCACTCAGGTTTTTCCACTCCAACCAGAAAGATGTAAGTTGAAAGAAACCTCCATGTCATGTAACAGAGCAGTTATGTCAAGGTGCCTTACAGAAGTCTGTGCCCTGTGTAAGGGCTTACAGAAATGTAGTGGAAACAAAGAGGAATAATACATGCAACTTCATGTTTATAGTAAAGGTTTTCTCAACCTCTGTTTCTTATTACAAGAATTTGTGACTTACTTGGGTTTTGCTTTAGCCTTCTATTTATAAAAGCCAGTTTTAATACTCCTCAAAAAAAGGTATGATTACTTTTAAATGAATGGATTGTAATTTTGTGCAAGAATTTAAGTGAAGTGGCAAATAAGCCCTGGTGTCACATAACTTCTAGCGTTTTGGAAAGTCGTACAGCAGCCAGGGATGGTGGATCAAGATGTGATGGCATACTCGTGAATCCTTTATATGACAGTCACCAAAGCAGCGTGTTTTAGTGATGGCTGCCCTGGGCACACAGGAGCGGCAGGG